GCTTTTCAATGAGTATGTTGATGTCACCTTCATGGCATGGCTCTGCCCTGTAAGGCAGTCTAGGGGCTCCAAACCACTTTTACAAGGGGGAGACAGCTATATTTTATATTTGTAGCCACTTTGCCACTGAAGGAGAGACTTTCCCACAGGGGTGGCATTAGAACTTGCCCATCAGTGGGACTCTGCTCTCAGAAAAGGAGAAAGGAGATAGCATCCCAAGCGAGGGACATGAGTGGTGATTCTGCCAACTCAGCTGGTGGAGATGACCAACCCTCCTAGAGAGCTTCTCTTTGTTTCCAAAAGTTATGAGCTCAAAAGGTCTCTGGCAGGGATGGAGGGCACCATTTTCTAAACGCTTGAATTTTCTAAAATCTCCCTCAAATGGCAGCTGTGTAGACAACGGAATAAACTGCTTTGCAAGCCAAATTTCAAGTTTCAGAGGCGTAATTGTCTACATCTGTGTAAATTCCAGCACAAAGTTGTGCCAGGGAGGAAATGTTGAGAGTTCAGGACAGGACGAGTAGACAGCTGGGACAAGACTGACACCTGGCCACTGGCACTTCCTTCTTTCTGCTTTGTCTTGGCATCTTGGGTCTCTTGGTGCATGTGTTCGGAACCTTTTATTCTGAAGCACAGCTCCATCAAAAAGGAAAAAAAAAAGAGGTACACAGAATTCAAATAGAACAAAAGTTTAAAGACTATAGTATTAGTATTTATAAATGATTTTATTTGGTCTGTGCTCTACACTCTGGCTGGAAGTAAGGCAGCACACACACACACACACACACACACACACACACACACACACACACACACACACACACCTCTAATCCAGAACATGAACTATTTCATGAATCTGTGGGAGAGGACATCACTTTCAGCTTTCATTCCTTAGATGGTCAGCTCCATCTAGGGCTTGACATTATTAGGTTGCACCAAGGCATCTGGAGGAAGGCTAAGCAGGATTAGAAACAGGAAGTGATGCTTGACTCAACAGGAGAAGAAAGGTGAAAAATTAGGGAGAAGGGAATCATGATGGGTGACAGGAGTACGGAAATATGATCCTCTTGGGTAAGGGTTGGGAAAAGGCAGAGAGAAAGAGGGTTTTGTTAGGTGTACAAGAAGAGTCAGGCCACACTGGAGAGGTTCTAGGCCCTGCTCCAAATGATATGACAGACTTTGTAGATCCCACAAGGAAGGCCTCACCCTCCCTGGGGAGCAGAAAGGGGATGGGATAAGGGGATGGTGATGGGCAGGGGAAGAGGGGAGGGAGAGGGAACTGGGATTGACATGTAAAACAAGCTTGTTTCTAATTTAAATTAAAAAAAAAAGAAGAGTCAGGTTCAAGTTCAACAAACATTTGGGCCCCACCCAGGAAGCTTTTAGGGATCTCAGAGGGCACAGCGATTGCCTAGCATGCCGGTGTTCCATCCTCAGTACCCCAACTTGCCACTAGTCATGGTGTTTCATCCTAGCAATAGTAACCCTAACTAAGACAGTGAGGTAAATCTTTTGCAGAACTACGTGGAAAAGACAGGAGTGTAGTGTGGAGGGAGAACTGAGCTGGTTCTGCTCATGAGATACAATGGGGTTTCTCTACAACCTTGGTCATACACCCCTTTATAAAGTTCAGCTTGTCCACCTATTAAAAAACAACATTCTATTGTATGAAAGTTGTTTTTTTTTGTTTGTTTGTTTTTTGTTTTTGGAGACAGGGTTTCTCTGCTTTGAAGGCTGTCCTGGAACTTGCTCTGTAGACCGGACTGGCTTTGAACTCACAGAGATCCACCTGTCTCTGCCTCCCCAGGGCTGGGAATTAAAGGCATGCGCCACCAACACCCGATTTGTTTGAAAGAATTTTAAATAAAAGGCCTGAAAGAGGCTTTAAGAAGTATGGATGAAAATCCAAAGACTAAGAGAAGAAACCAACACACCTAATGGGGAGATATAACTGGAGTCTTCTTTTCCAGACACAACCTGTTTGTCCTGGTTGGCTTTTATTGTCAGCTGAGGTGGGGATGGGTCGTTGGGGTGGGGAGGGGGAAGGGAGCCTCCACAAAAGGACTGCATCAACACGACTGCCCTGAGGCCATACCTCTGAGAGTCTGAGTTGATGACTGATGTGGAAGGGCCCTGTCCACTGTGGGAGGCAGCATTTCTAGGCAAGTGGGCTTGGGCTGTAATGAAAGCTAGGTAAGTGTGATGCAGAGCGCAGGCTAGGAAGCAGAGTCCCTCCAGGGTCTCTGTCTTCAAATCAGTTCCTGCTCCACGTTCCTGCTTTGAGTTCCTGCCCTGGTTTTCCATCAGCAACTGAGTGTTTCCTGGAAGTGTAAACCCAAATTAACCCTTCCCTCCCCAAGATGTGTCTAGTCAGAATGTTTTATCATAAAAGCAAAGTAGAACAATGCTTGCTGAGGATGAAAGAGGAAATGACCAATTCTGAGGAAGACAGGTAGGTTGGAGCTCTTCCTAAAACCCGGGGCATTGCAAGGGAGTCTAGAGGATGAATAGATTTCAATCTAGAGAGTGAGGTGGGGTAACAGGAGGAGACCATAACCTTAGGATTTATTTAGTGACATAAATATTGAAGTTTGATAGCAAAAGGTGTGTGTGTGTGTGTGTGCGTGTGTGTGTGTGTGTGTGTGTGTGTGTGTGTGTGTGTGTGTGTGTGTGTGTGTGTGTGTGTGTAGGTTGAACCCAGGGCCTCATAAAGCTCAGTCCACACTCTATCACTAAGTTGTATTCCTAGCTGCCCTGCTTTTTTTAATGAGGAAAAGAAAATGTTCATTTAGAATTGTTCAGCTGAGGG